TCTTTCCCTCATTATTTAAGATATAATTTACATAGTTAAATTCATTATTTTGACTATATAGTTTAACAAGTTTTGATAAACACGTATAGTCGTATAACCACTACCACAATAAAGATTTGCAATATTCCTCCCCGTCAAATTCCCTGGTGCTTACCCCTAGCCTTGGCAACTACTCATCTGTTTTATGTCTCTATGGTTTTGCCTTTGCCAGGATGTCTTAGAGTTATACAGTCTGTAGCCTTTAAGTCTGGTTTCTTGTGTGAGTATAGGTCCATTTCACTTCGGAAAATACCTAGGAGTAGGACTGCTGGATGTGGTAAGTAAATGTTTAACTTTATAAGAATGTGTCAAACTATTTTCCAAAGTGGCTGTACTATTTTTGCATCCCCACCAGTAATGCCTGAGAGTTCCAGTTGTCCCATGTCCTCGCTAGTATTACCATATTTTTTCTTTTTAATCTATTTTAGTAGATATTTTAAAGGAAAAAATGATGCAGTGTTTTAAAATTAGATGATTTCACAATCTAGATATCTTGCTTGCCAGCTAGATATCTCAAGTTGAGCGTATAGGCTTGGCTACGTTGCTTTGGAGCCAAGGACCTACAGCTGCCTGTAGTTGGACATGTGCTCTCCAATTCACCTCAATCACAGCTCACCCGCTTCCCTCACTTCCTTTACCTGCCTACACCTGAGGGTGTCTTTAAGACCCCCTTGCAGAGTAGCTGAGAGCTTGGCTTTTGGAGTCAATGTTACGGATTCAGGTCCTAGCTCTGCCTCATGGCAATAATGTGACTCGTAGCTCCTCTGGCTTCTCCACCTATAAAATGGGGCTGACAGTGTTCTCATCTCACAGGGTTCTACTGATTTTTAAAACTTGTTTAGGTAATGAAGATTCAGCTTTCAAAATAGACATATTAGAATGGAAAATAACTGATACAAATCTCATAAATTAGATCTTGCATAACTCTAGTTCACAGAGTAAGCCACTGACAGAGTTGAGACTAGAAGTCACAAAAGCTACCTTACACTGCTTTTAAAAACTTGGTTGCTTACCACAATTGTTTTTTTTAAGAAGGGAGGTTGTATCCTAATTTCAAAAGGGTTCTTTGAAGACTGCAAATCAAAATCTTAATATTATACCTACATTACTGATACATCTAAGTTTATTTTGCCTGTAAAATTAATTAGGCTGAGGTTTTAACGGCAAAATTAAAAGCACTAAGATAAGATCATCACAGAATTTTCTGACCAGAAATATTTTATAAGTTTTAAAGATTCTTCTTGAAGCACATAGGAGATCTGTTGTTACAACTGTTTAAACATAACCTTAATAGTGATGAAAGCAAATGATTTTTACTGTTTTAAAGCTCATTTTTAACACAAAGAAATTTAAAGCTTCCATAGTCTAACTAAAGATAGTAGGTACTTTATTGATAGTTAAATAACATTCAGTTAACATTTCCTGCAAATCATGGGCCCCAGAGATTCACATTCCTTCAAGGTATCTGAATTAAGTAAGGGCATTTAACCCGGCTAGAAAGTTATTATTTTTGCATTAGCCAAAGAGATGATTTGACTCTATTGACATTGCTTAAACTTGATAGTTAAATAATCAAGTACCAATTTGCTTTTTTCATTGCATTGTGCTGTACAGTAGTCTCAGTTGATCTTATTTACAATACATAAATGCATTTAATGTCTATTTTAAAATTACTAAGGCTCAAGCACCTCCTAACATGTTTGAAAAGAGAGGAAACATCTGTGACAAACACAGAAAGAAGCAATGTGTACATTTTTTTGTTTAATAGCATATATTATTTTTAAATGAACCATGAAGACATTGGTTCAGAATCAGCCTTTAAATAAAAAAATAGTTTTGAACTAATCTTTAATTAAAGTGTACATTGATAGTATCAAGTTCAGGTTGAGGGTCAAAAACAACGTCAATGAGTCTGACTTTTTCCTCCCTATAGGGAAAGCAGGCTTGTGTAAATATACATGAGCACAGACTGCACGCATTTATAGAGGAGGTGGAAAACATTCCCCTGTCATTGCACAGATGTTGCTTCACTGGGTTCCACAAGGGTACAGGCACAGCTCCCACCGTGCGGAACCTTAAAGGAGTGTGGGTCACATACTCTTAGCATTTTGAAAGAAGAGCTCTAAGCTCCTTTCCACCTCTGAGTAGGCTCCCACCTGGAATATTAAATGTAGACCGTAGGCCACTTGTCTGCCCATTCTCCCCTTTAACGTAATTAAGGGAAGGAATAACTTTAATCAACTTTTTAGAAACAAATCTATTCTTTGTGTTTGGGCTGGTTATTTTTTTTTCTTTTTCTCTTTTTGGGTATTTTGTTTTTAACATTTTACTGACATTCTAGCTTTATTCTCATCTCTTAGCTCTACACTAAATTAGGAAAATGTTAGCAGTAGGCACGCCCTAAAAATCTAGCTTAATGAAATCCCATCATATATTTGGTCACCGTTTATATAAAAAAGAAGTAGAGTTGATATTCCCACTTAAAAAGACAAATCTTTTGCAATAACAAAACAATATTTTGGTATGTCCTCAGTAAAAATGTCACCTGAGGAAATAAACATTTAAAATATTTAATATTTTTTTCACATTATAAAACTGAAGACTCAGGACTGAACATAACCTCACTGATAGTAGGACATTCTTTATGTTCTTCCCACAGGAACTCCTGTATTCTGCTGGCTTCTTTAGGGTAGCCTGTCTTAGCATATGTAGTATTAAAAATGCATTTAGGCCCTAACGGGTTTGGCTCAGTGGATAGAGCGTCAGCCTGCGGACTCAAGGGTCCCAGGTTCGATTCCGGTCAAGGGCATGTACCTTGGTTGTGGGCACATACCCAGTAGGGAGTGTGCAGGAGGCAGCTGATTGAGGTTTCTCTCTCATTGATGTTTCTAAATCTCTATCCTTCTCCCTTCTTCTCCGTAAGAAATCAATAAAATATATTTTAAAAATGCATTTAGCTCTGTATTTAGTGTTCCTAGTAAGGAAAATGAGGGTAGAGTGATTTATTTGCTGTTTTTGTCAGTGCAGTCCTAGTGACTACAGCTTTGCTTGAAGCTACAAATATGTGGTATGTGTCACAGTTCACAATTGATCTCAGTGTGTGTGGCAGAGTATAGAATTTACCAACATTGTTTTCTGAGGCTGTGTCCATTTTTATTTTATTTTCTACCTTGATGCTATATGATGTACTAGCAAGACCTTTCAAAATGGTTGGCAAGAAACAAAACTCAAGAACACTGTTGTGGAATTGACACCAGTTGTGTAAATCTTTAAAAACATGGCTGGGGTACTGTGGACAAACCGGCTAACATTTTGATGGTAATTACAGTGTACATAAGCAGTAAAGCACATTTTCATGCAGCTTCCAGTTTTTGTGCATATGTGTGTGTGAATGGAGAGGAGGCAGACACCCGAACTAGGGCTTCTTTTTCCTCTTCCCAGATAAAGCATTTTCTAGACTCTCAGAACCCGCTCTCCCCTAAGCCTCCATCTTGGTCAGCCCCAGCCAGCCTTCAGGGAATGGTGGTTGGACAGTGCAGCACTGTTGTTCATGGGCCTTCTGCATGTGGCCCCATTAAGGAATGCTAAGTCATCACCCCTTGATTGGCACCTGCAAAGAGGTTCGCATGACAGCCCCACCTGACCTTCAGCAGAGTTCTTGAAAAAGGAAATCTATTCCAAAGTATGTCACTGCCTCTGATTACAGTGATTTTTAAACTGTTTTTTGGATCATAAGCCCCTGTGAGGATCTAACGCACTTGTGTCTCCTCCAGGGACACCAGTTAAGAACATTTGGTTTGGAGAAGTGGTGAAAGTAGCCAGCCTCTCCCCTCCTTCCTGCTACCAGCTACCCTTGCTGTAGTCATCCACTCAGTGGACTACCCCTCATCAACTGGGCCTTCAGCACCTTTGATATAGTCCCTGCTTGTTCAGACATCTCTTCCTGCTGCTTCTGGGACTTTCCTGAGTTACCTGCCTACCTCAGTGTCTAGTCGTGACTCCTAGCTCTTTTTTGTTGTTGTTAATCCTTACTGGAAGATATTTTTTCCATTGATTTTTAGAGAGAGTGGAAGGGAGGGAGGTAGGAGGAAAAGAAAAGAGGGAGCCGGGGTGGGGGTGGGGGGAGAGAGAGACCATTTGGTTGCCTCCCACACTCACCCCAACTGAGAAGCCTGCAACCCAGGTACGTGCCCTTTCAAACCAAAACCTTAGGTTCTTGAACTAACTCTTCCACCTCAACTTTGTGACTGTTTGGGCTAAGCAACAGTTAACTCTTTCTTTGGGGCAGGGGTGGGGAGGGGCAGTGCTTGGCCAAGAAGAATGAAAAACAGTGAATTATGAGAGACAGATGAAGGGCCTCTCTTCCTCTGTGGTGTTGACAGTGAGAGTGTCCCATTTCCCCCCAAAAGGCAAATCGCACAAATATTTGACAGAACATACCTGGTCTCTTCAATAATTTTAGGCTTATTATCTTGGGAGCTTTCTAGAGGTGCATTTTCATTGGCAATGTGTCTTTGTGCATCAGAGAGAAAGACTAATTTTGGCTTACCCACTTGTGGGTAATAAACAGGAACTATGTGATGCATTGCTTCAAAGGTACCTGCATACAAAGAATTAAAAGCATTTTGCTTTGAAACTAATAATTAAATTGTAGACATAGCATTAGACTATTTAAAATTATGTTTTATGAAATGGAATTAAGTAAAGTTAAATAGAACCATGGTAAAACCAATAAAAAATTAATATCCAAGATAAAATATCATAGGCTTTCATACATAAAAACCTACACAGGAAAATTTATAGTCAGCGCTCACAGACAAAATGGGTACACCAACATTATATATAACCTGCCCTTGTATTTTGCTTTTCTGAGCTCATTTTTTTATAGTGTTTACTTTAGGGAGTAGATTAGTCATGTATAGTGTTTGGAATATGTTCATGCCTTTATTTTGGCACTCAACATTCCATATCGTTACAGGTCCTTCTCCCTTTGTAGCAGTGATTTCCCTATAAGGGAGGTCTGCCTCCATCAGTTTTAATTCCCGGGGGCTAGCATCGTCTGGGACATATCCAGGGTACTCAGTAAACATTTATCAAATGAATAAATTAATGTTTCCATCTAATCACTACAAAAATAAATACTAAAAGATATGCATATATTTTGGATTTTGTTAAAGTGGTTTTGTTTTCAATTTTGAGTTATATAGTTATGTGATTCTATTTAGGACAAGATTTTTATTGTAAAACCTTTGAAGTTTGAGGTCATAGGCCTTATAACCTTAGCACATATCTCTAATACGGAACTCCAAATTCACAAGGCTATCAAAAGTATGTAAAAGGTCAGGGAGCACAAAAATTACTCTCTAAGAATTTCTGTTCATTTATGATGCACTTGGTTATACTGAGTTGTCTTTAAAAGGTTAATTTTTAGCTCTTCTAGACATCTGAAAGTATATTGTAGATTTTAAAATGTATCTTCTAGACTTTATTTTTTTCTCTTTTTTTCTTCTTTTTTTTTTCCTTCTAGACTTTAATTCCTGCTTTCTGTTTCTCTTGAGCAGTAATAACAGTCTGCATAAAGACTATAGCGTTAGCTATTGGCCACATACCTAAGAATAGAGCTATATACATGTATTGAGTGATGTCACTGTTCTTAAGTTTGAGAAGCTCAGAACTGTATCATCATTTGGATAGAGATGGCAGTGGAGGAAGGGGCTCATTCCAATGTGTGTACTACAGAATCTGGGAAGAGTGAATTCTAGGATGCTCCCCAAGATGATAAAGATAGTTGTTACCCATTACACTTAGCTACATTTAGTTTCATTACTTAGGCAAGGGAGGTTGGCATGTCCTTTGTAAAACAACCTTAGGCATATTATAATCAAAATATGCAAGTGTTGGGATGTGTACGTAAGAAAGGAGATATGCCACAGAGTGTAGGTCACAGAAGTGGTTGTGATGCATTTTGATTTTCTATCCTGATGAAAAATGTAATTTTTGCACTGTTGCTAAATGAATATACTAGTACTAGTGACTTAGGTTTCACACTTAACTAGCTGGTGCTGTTTCACCATTTACATAACTAATACTGTACACTTTGGGCAGATAGAAAAGTACACATTTTCCCCCACCCTTATGGCTCTGTTTACATAGTAGGAACTAAACACAGGTTTAGCTGATAGCAGCTATCATATTCAGATATAAACATTACAGGTTAAATTTCCTAGGAATCCTATATAATAAAAGGCTAATATGCAAATTGACTGAAAGGTGGAGTGACCTGTTACTATGATGCACATTGACCACCAGGGGGCAGATGCTCAACGCAAGAGCTGCCCCCTGGTGGTCAGTGCGCACTCACAGGGGAAGCACCCTCAGCCAGAAGCTGGATTCATGTCTGGCGAACACGGTGGCAGTGGCGGGAGCCTCTCCCACCTCCGCAACAGCACTAAGGATGTCCAACTGATGCGGGGGGAGCAGGCCTAAGCCATCAGTTGGACATCCCCCGAAGGTTCCTGGACTGCGAGAGGGCACAGGCCAGGCTGAGGGACACCCTCCCACACGAGTGCACGAATTTCGTGCACCAGGTTTCTAGTTGTAAATAAGTTAAAAAATCAAAAACTTTAAACAAAATCTAAACAAAAACTTGCTCGTTTCATGGCACATTTTTTGTTGAGGAGAATATTCCCTTTGCTAGTAGAAGTGGTCAACTAATGAATGGCAGTCTACTTACTTATATAAGAGATACTGTCATCCTCCTTTTTACTGTTCCTTTTCTTACTGATTTTCTTGGCATCTTTGGATGCTTTCCAATTTATTAGAAATTGTCTTTCCATGTTTTTAATTTCTTTTCCATCAAGACAGTCTAGATAAAAATATATATGTTAAAATACAATATAGATATGTCACTATATATGTAAGATATATATATTTCTTGTTCAGGGGCACACAAACTTGTTACTCTATATGCTGAAATAAATTTCTTTTTAAAATACTTATTTACACAACATGTATTTTTGTCTAGATTTTATTTTTAATTTCAACAAGAATATGTGCTTATTAAAAGTAACTGAACCCTAACCAGTTTGGCTCAGTGGATAGAGCGTCAGCCTGCGGACTCAAGGGTCCCAGGTTCGATTCTGGTCAGGGGCATGTACCTTGGTTTCGGGCACATCCCCGGTGGGGAGTGTGCAGGAGGCAGCTGATCAGTGTTTCTAACTCTCTATCCCTCTCCCTTCCTCTCTGTAAGAAATCAATAAAATATATTTTGTGCCTAATTGTTTACTTAAACTGTCTTAAATTTCATCAAAGCCAAAACAATGTGAAAAATATATTTAAAAAATAAAATAAAATAAAAGTAACTGAAACATGATGGGGGAAAAACAAAAACATGGATGTAATTACTATCCATATCTCTCCTTCTCATCACTGACAAAGATAATCATTGTAAACAGAATTTGATGTATGGTCACCCTTCTAAGACTATCCACTGAGCCAAACCAGTTTCGGCTATATTATTATTTTAAAAAGCAAAAATGTCATACCTAACAAAAATATCATCTATAATTATTTAAATAACATTATGGCTATTCTTAGGAAAAAGCAAAATATTTTTATCTTAAAGTGACTAAGAGGATTTATATATGTAACACAGTATTTTAAAAGCACATATATTAATAATGCTTATTATATCCTAGGACATAGGCTATATAATAGGAACAACCCGCATAGCTGCGCTCTTGGTTCTCTGAATAGAGATTTCAGTTATCTTTACATTTTGTTCCTTTAAATTTTTTTTTTTGCAAATTAAGCATCTTAAATTAGACGAATAATTTTTGTATGTTGTAAGATATTTGGAAAATATAAAAAAATTAACATTGCCTGTATTTCACCAGAAATAATGACTAAAAATCACTGATAACAATTTATTTTTTAATATATTTTTATTGATTTCAGAGAGGAAAGGAGAGGGAGAGAGATAGAAACATCAATGATGAGAAAGAATCATTGATCGGCTGTCTCCCGCACACCCCCTAATGGGGATCGAGCCCACAACCTGGGCATGTACCCTTGGCCAGAATCGAATCTGGGACCCTTCAGTCCGCAGGCCGATGCTCTATCCACTGAGCCAAACCAGCTAGGGCTGATAACACTTTAGTGTATTTCTTAGCAATTTTTTGTTTTCTAAGTATGTATATATGTGTATTATATAAAATTGGAATTTATTTATAGAGCATTACAGCCTACTTTTAAATATTGTATCATGAGCATCTTACTGTGTTTTTCTTTTTTAAAAAATATATTTTATTGATTTCTTACAGAGAGGAAGAGAGAGGGATAGAGAGTTAGAGCATTGATGAGAGAGAAACCATTGATCAGCTGCCTCCTGCACACCTCCTACTGGGGATGTGCCTGCAACCAAGGTACATGCCCTTGACCAGAATCGAACCTGGACCTTTCAGTCTGCAGGCTGACTGACGCTGTATCCACTGAGCCAAACCAGTTAGGGCTGTGTTTTTCTTTAAACTCAATTTTTAATAATCTTTGACAGTATTCTATTGTATATGATATACTGTACTATAAAATTATAGGATATTTTATGTGACTTTAATCACATAAATATAGGTGACCTTCAATTAACATTAAGATAAAATGTTGCCGTAACCGGTTTGGCTCAGTGGATGGAGCGTCGGTCTGCGGACTGAAAGGTCCCAGGTTCGATTCCGGTCAGAGGGCATATACTTTGGTTGCGGGCACGTCCCCGGTGCGGGGTGCGCAGGAGGCAGCTGATCAATGTTTCTCTCTCATTGATGTTTCTGGCTCTCTATCCCTCTCCCTTCCTCTCTGTGAAAAATCAATAAAATATATTTAAAAAAAAAAGATAAAATGTTATCTTTTCTAGCAAAATTTCCTTATATAGCAGTTTAAAAAATTAAATATATTTTCTCTCATCATCATGTAATGTCTTCTGCTAGATTCCAGAATGTAGAAAGGATGTAGAAACATTTTTTGGGTCATATTTTTATAAGGGAAAATGATAATTTTCCTGATAAAATATTAATTGTACTACTGAAAATATTAACATTGCCACTTAAATATGAGCTATAATATTGTTATATTCCAAATCAAGTGATGAAACTGGAAATATAAACTAGAACCATAAACTCTAGAAGTATAATTGTTTCCATAGCTTGTCTCTTGTACTTATTTTAACTGAATAATAGCACTTTCCAAATTATAATGTAAGAAATTGGCAAAATATTTTATCATTATATATCTTAGTACTTATAACTTATTATTAAAGGTCATTCTTTTACACTCAGTTTTCCCAACCACTTGTACTGGTATATATTGATATCTTTGCCAGATATGTTTTTATTAATTGTGTAATTTATTAGTATATTTTTGGATGTGTTACGTGTAAGTCAGTACATATTTTTAAAACATCTATTATGAGGATAAGGAATGACAAACCTAAATCTTTTACCATAATCCCACTTCCTTATGTTAATGTTTCAGACAAAGCTGAGGGATGACTAGATTATGTCTCAGTAAATCTGATTCTATCTCACTTTTAGCAAATGATCTCATTTGAGGTTATTAGGTGTAGAGGTGGTTCAGAAGGGGAAGCCAGGTAATGGACACAAGATCAGAGACCCATGAGATCTGTTTTAATGAGCTGCTTTCAACACAAAATCTGCTTCCATCATACTAAGTAAACAAGTATCTATTTGATAAGGCCGGGTTACTTACAAAACAGAAAATGGCTCCATACAGTTCTTTTTACTGGGACATATAAAATCAGGCCTTCAATTAACTTTGTGGGGTTTTGTGTGTGTTTTTTGGTTTTGTATTAGGAAAAACAAGGAAATTAAATGAGCTAAATCAAAGAGAATTTGTTATATATGTATATATACATAGAAAAAAAAGACTGTAAGGACACATACCAAAGTCTAAATAGATTTTGCAGGATTATGAATAATATTTATTTTCTATATTTTCTAGAAGAAATATGTATTACATTTTATAATCATAAAATATGTTATGGAAGATTTATTTTTTAAACTTTGAATAAATTCTCTTTACTTGGAAATTAGTACACTTGTCTCCGTATCTGCTACAGCATTGCCTATGGTACTGTATCATGAGAAATGTTTCCAGAAATGGTTCATGAACATTGGAAGATTCTTAATTATCAAACATTAATTGTATTTACTTTATTACTCTGCTTCCTAAGGAAAGTAGACAAATACAATTGTGTGCACTGGGGAGAGAGAGGAGGAGATAGACAGTTGGGGGTGGTGCATGGCAGAATCATCTATAGAGCTTTAAAAATTACACATGACTGTTCTCTGTTCCCTACCCTTGGCTGGTGGGGTAAGGGGTGGGCAGAATATTGTGAAAAACCCTCTTGGATATTTCTGACATGCCCTCGTGTCAGTCCCTTCCTCCCCCAAGAGAATCACTGCACTAGCATTATGATTAATCAAGGTTTACTACAACTATGAGCTTTGAAAGAGTTTTGCCATAGTTTTTATACCCATGTCACTGAAATTCTGATATAGGAAATTGGCTCATGAATCTCCTTTGGGAGAGGCCAGCCTTGTCTCTCCGATGCTATATAACTTGGTCCCTTACTGGTCCATGTCCCCGATATAGTGCATATTGAGGAATGTTATGATTGTTAGGGTCTCATAAAGGACTCCCCATCCTGCTGCACGTTCAATCAAATAAAAGGAACTCCTATATGTTTTTAGGGCACCACTTGGCAAGTGTCAGCAGTGAAAACCTTGGTCCACAGAACCAAGCTAAAGAGGCTCGTGATCTTCAGAGGATTTGTGCCTAAGAGAATTTGGCAAAAGGTGAGCAAATTCTACACATTTATGACTAACCATTTTTGTTAGTAACAGCCACATTTTCTTTTTTTTTTTTTAAAGGAAGAGTATCTGGTGCCTCGATTAATTATTTCTGAACAGCAGATATTTTATTCTTTCTCAATTTTAACTTTTGCTGTTATTAAAAATACATAGAATTTAAAGTTGATCTTTTAAAAACTGTCTTTTTAAATTGAATTTATTAGATGACATTGGTTAATAAAATTATGTAGGTTTCAGATGTAGAATTCTATAATACATCATCGGTATATTGTGTGCTCACCACCCTGAGTCAAGTACCCTCCTATCAACACTCAACCTCCCTATGCCCTCTTTTACCTCCCCCCATAAAGTTGGTCCAGATGACATATTATATTTCTGAAGGATTGCTGTTACGTTAACTAAAAAGTGAACCAGGTCTCTTTTTCGCAGAAAATTATATTAATATAAATGTGTACCCAGTGATTTGGAGACTAGTATCAATCTGTCTCTGTATTTTGGTTTGAGACAAACAGGATTTCCTTTTAGATCCATTTTCCACAGTTTCATCAATTTGCTCAGTAAAAATTCCAAATCCTATAATTATAGAAGAAAAAGAAAAAATGTCATAATTATCAATATATTTTCATTCAGTTAATTGTTTATAAAGGTAATTACTGTTTTTTGTGGAGTTCTAGCTTAGTGTTAGCTACTTAGAAGGTGTATGATAAATTATTTTTGGATATAATGGTCTGTAATAATAATGGAAGGGGGCTAAAGAGAAGGCAGAAAATGAGGTCCTGAATTGGGGGCCATGGAACTGTTCTTTGTCATAGTCCCTTAAAGGGACCCAGGTTCAGAAAAAACTTTTGCCCCTCTGGCCATCCATCCTGCAGAAGATGCTCTATTCTTGGTGGAATTTATGGAAGTGTCCAGATTAAGGCAATTAAGGAGCAGTGAGTAAGCAGTCCATTGGCATTGCAAACAATATTTCCTTTTTATTTTATAAAAGAATACATATTTATTTTAAAAATCTGTAAAAAGGCCAAGGGGAAAATATGAGAAAAAAATCACTTGCATGCTTCTCACCCAAAGATCATTTTCAGTGTGTTGTCACATATCCTCTGGCCTTCTTTGTTTGAGCATAGGGATTTCTTTTTTAATGGTCATGTGGGTACAGTTTTGTTTTATGTATATCATAAACATTTGTGTGTTTTTATAGTTACAAGAAAATCATCTAATTGATATTTCAAGGAGTAGTTAAGTTATTCCATGGTCTACAATCCAAATGAATGTCAGAAAAAAAGATTAATACATTTAAGAACCTGCTCTCTCACTTTGCCCTCTTTCTCCCAATTTGGGTTTCTTTTTCCATTGTCACAACCCTTTTGTTCAATGCCTTGTTTTTTGTCCCTTTCCTTGCTTTCCTTCCTCATTTTTAATATGTATATTTTATTTTAGATATTTAGTGGAAGTGAAATATACTTGGACTATTTCTTACATGTGTCATAAAGTTCTGTGTTTAATTTTTGAAATCAGGTAAATTTAGTCTGTATGAATTACTTCAAACAAGCAATTCAGAGACTGTTTTTCTACTCTATAGCCTTGAATTGATTTTAAAAAATTCAATAGCCAAAGGAAAACTACCTTTAATAGGACAAAACATTAAAGCAAATATTTTGCTGCTAATAAAAATAAATGTTGATAATTCTGTGGAGAGCATAATCCAGGGCTCAGGACTGAAGGATGAAATTATAACTTTTGAAGAGAGCTTTCTTATAAATCAACTACATGACAGTGCATCAGAAGCTTCTCTGTTGACCAAAATTAAGAGAATGAAAATTAGCCTGGCTGGAGTGTCTCAGTACCTGAGCATCAACCTATGAAGAAGGAGGTCACAGTTCAATTCCTGGTCAGGACACATACCCGGTCATGGGCTTGATCCCCAGTGGGGGGCATGCAAGAAGCAGCCAATTGATAATTCTCTTATCATTGATGTTTCTCTCTCTCTCCCTCTCCCTCCCCCTCCTCTCTACAGCATTTGTTTGACAGTGTTTGATACAGCCATAATTATTTCATGTGAGAGTTTCTCTGTATTTCTCTTAGTCTAAAAACCTCTAAGGAAGGAATTGTGCATTGCATTTTTTAGTGTTGAATACAATGTCCCATCATCCAAAAGTTCAGTAATAATAACAATAAGAGCACTTTACATCTATATAGATAAAAGAGTCCTGTGGAGTTTTGTTAATTGTCCCTCACTTGATAAATGACCCTCGACATACTCCCTCCAGTGCATGTTTATTTAAGACTAAACTAATCCTGTGCTGAAATATGATTACCCTTTGGATACGCTCTGGTTGTTCATTGCCTTCCTGTCTTTAATAAAATGCTTTCACTTTCCTATTCTTCAATAAGTTACTTAAGGGAGCAGACACTTTTCTGGACAGTCTCTGTTTGATAAATGATCATGTCATGCTATCACTTAGAGGAGTGCTGCAAAGTCTTGAGGAGCCAGCTCTGTTTCCCATGCAGGGCTGGCGCTGAGCTCCTGTATGGGCGCCGGCAGCACTGGCAGTGCTCCCTCTACAATTAGTGATGGCCACGGACGAACCTGTATTTGACCAGCATGCTCCAATTTTTATCGGAAACGTCTGGCCCAACTGTCTTAACTAAATCTAAAGACAGCAATTTGTCATCCCCCTGACTGCCTGTCATCATCTGCTTGGGAAAATCTATAATTTTGGGCTTGTTTCTGACTAAACTGTGGAGTAAATAAATTCATCTTCGGGTTACTCTGCTTGTCAGGATCAATACTGAGCAGAGGTTGAATAAATTAGAAACTGGAAAAACATGACAGGCCATATTGGTTTGTTCATTCGTTGGTGTCTTATAAATCAAATATTTAGTTTATATGAGGCAAACACATCAAAACTTTTATTTCCACCATTTACTCGAAGATACTTTACCTCATGATAAATGGTCATTAGAAAACTAATGAAGTAAATCACATATTTCTGACTGTGAGATGAACTTTTCACATCATTTTATTTATTTAGCAAATTTTGCAGACATAAAAATTTTAGGTATAAATTAAATTTTTTTCACGTTTTATAAATTTTTGTAACCATAATATTTATTTGATTTAATAGTGCCAGTAAGCTATATAACGTTGGCCCTATTGAAGTTCATGGCTCATCCAACTACTTAGAGATATGCAAAAGTTTTATTGTAAATGGTCATTAAAGTATTTAATATTTTAATACATTGATGCATACCTATTTAAGGAGCTACAGAAAAAAAATGCAAAGAAATTTTAACCAAAAGTGAATGTCATTTAAACAAGAACGCTGTGAGTGAAAGAAAGGAGTTTCTAAACTATGGAGCATTGTTTGGCCTAACCTCTCCGCCTCCTCCTCAAGGGCTGACTTTGCCACCAGTTTTATTGGGAAGAATTGGGTCCTCCACTCACAGAGTTTTCTCATTTATCCGCCCTGGGTCTCATACTTCCTTTCTTCTTTCACATTTTTCTCAACCAAGAGTCCCACCTCATTTTCTAAATTAATTAGTTCTCTCCATCCCTTCCCCTCTTCCACAGGCCTCCTCTTCTTGGAATCTTCTCTTTCATTTCTATTTTCATTGTCTCCTTCTCCCCTGGTTTTTATCCTGTCTCTTACCCATCATCATACACTTCTTGGAAGAGTAGTCCACACCAGTGCGTCTCAAACTTTATGTGCTTAAGAATCACCTAGGGATCTTATTTAAACGCAGTTACTGATTTGTTAGGTCTGGGGCAGAAGCTGAGATTCTGCATTTCTGAGGCTGATATTCTGGTCCTAGGACCACATTTGGAGTTATGAGTCTAGGCCACTGCCTCTGCTTCCTTAATCACTGGGCACTCCTGCAGCCTGGGGCTTCTGAACCAGAACTTCGAGATTTATCCCTTATCGCCTTATTGCATTGCCAATCTCAGACTTTCTCAGTCTCAGTTCTATGGAGCACTTCCCTACTGACCGCTCCCCCTTCACGGCTGTGTGAGTCCACATTCTTCAGGCGCCCTGCATCTTGCATGAATCTCTAACCCCACAAGGAACAACCTTCTGACCATAAGAATCCCTAATGTATGAACAATCTGTTTTCTAAAAGTTGCTTTTGAGAACAGAGAAAACATCTCATAAAAAAAGTGCTATACGTGGCAGACTGTTGCCTGGATAGGGCAGCCGTAAAACCACCTATTTAAAAGAGGAAAAAAACCCAAAGACTATGTGGCGATGGCACTATAAAACCCCCTCATGGTGCATCACCATGTTTCCCAGCACTGGTGCTCTCTCTGGGGAGCAGAAACTGGAGTGGCATCAATTCAGTTTCTTCCTTTTCCATAGTCTACGTTTATTCCTCTCAGAGGTTTTTTCTTCTTCCCTGGACCACAGCAAAATGTAAAATCATGGCTAGAAAAATGTTTTTCTTCATTAACCGACTATATTCTTCATGTATATGCAGACATTTCAGAAAAAGGAGAATGTCCATGTTGATATTAGTAAAACATCTATTACACCAAAGAAGTAAGGGTCATCTATACGTGAGAACAACAACCAGATTTTGTGGGATGCCACATTGAGCATTTCATCATACTTACATATCTAGTCAGTGACTACTTAACCAATTTGCTGAAGAATTCTACTATCCACTGAGCTCTGTCCTCTATATCCAGTTGTCTGCCTGATATTTTCTT